GTGATCTATTAGGAAAATACTGATGCGTGTATCTATTATATATCTTTTATAGATTGATGAGGTTGCTTACGATCGTAATCCTGGTAGATACAAACGCAAATCCATTAAAAAATAACTCTTCTTACCCAGTTTTCCAAGCTAAACACGAATCTGAACTGAATTCCTGTGATTTCTAAAGATATTCTGTCACTCTGAGAGTAGAGTCAGTGGTCACAGGATAGGGTCGCATACAGTGTGGTCCATGCTAACTTAGCACGCCTGTATTTTCTCCTTGCAATTTAGTGATAAAAAACACAGTGAATATATCTTTTCACTTTTTGAAGTACACATAACACTTGGATTTAAATCCGAGGTTTTCGCATTTATTTGTTTTAGAATCATCAAAAAATGAATTGAAAATTCTAATGAAAGATCAAGTAAAATCAGATGATTTAATAAAAACATTAGAACAAGATCATATTCGTTTACAAACTGAACTTGATGTAGTTAAACGTGATCTTGAAGAACGTAATCGTGATTTACAAAAAGAACGAATGCGTATTGAAAATATGATTCGACATGAAGAAGTAAAAAAAGAATAAATTTATCTTCAGATTTTTAATTTTTTTTTTTTACTTGTAGAATTATCAATCAAAACAAAAAACACTTACTAAATCACATGAAGAATTAGCAAAAGAATGTGAATCATTGAAGTAAACATTCATTATTTCTTTCATTCTTCTTTTTTTTTTTTTTTTATTATTAATTTAGAAAAAAAATAACAGAATTAGAAATTGAACGAGATGAATTACAAAAATCATTTCAAATAATTCAACAACAACAAGAAAATCAAATATCTTCAGATACTATTAAAATTCAATCATTTATGGAAACACATAATCATGTTTTACAAGAAGTTACTTCTCTTAAATCAAATATTGAACAACTTCAACAACAACTTCAACAAATGACTGAACGTGAAAAAACATTATTACAATATCCTGTTTCAAATGGACCTATTCAAAATACATCAAGTAAATTATATTCTCATTCTTGTTATATGTTTTGTTCTTCTTCTTTTATAGCAACAAATAATTTTGTTCATGATATGCAAACTCAAATGCAAACAAATGAACTTCGTATTGATTTATTACAAAAACAAAATGATTCATTGAAATTCTCATTAGAACAACTTCGACCTACAACAAATCATACGAATCCATTATTAGTAACAGAAGAACGTTATGAAGAATTAAGAAATCAATCAAGACAAGAACAATCATATTATCAATATTCACATGCAAATGAAACATTACCACCAGTAAATTATGAATTTTATCTTAAACATTAAATTTTAATTAAACTAGAATTAAAAGAGATTTGGATATAAAAACTACTTGATTCGAGTTACAACAGTATTTAAATAAGATCATTCAATTTATGTCTTTAGAAAAAAATTCAATATACAAGATGCGTATTTTTGTTTTAACTACATACTAAGAATATTTTATTGCAAAGGTTTCAGTTCTTTTGATTTGCTTCTATCCTGAAATAGAAACATTGAATATGCCGAGATATATATGAAGGATACCCAAAGTTTACCTAGACTCAGATCGATGATCCAAGTTCTGAAAACAATTAGATTTCACTGGAATCAACTGGAGAGTTGAGGAAAAAATCATCGTATCCAGTTGGAGAATATAGGAAATCGAAAGAACATGGAAGCAGTATTGCGAACCGGAAGGTCTCCGATAATTTACGGTCACTTCCTGCCGGAAAGAACAGGAAGTCACCGGAAGCTTTCTGACCCGGAATACTGTATTCATGTTCTATTGATATTCGGTGATTTCCTGTCGGAACCGTCGCGTCCTTCTTGACTTTAGGCATTCACGTCCATTCTGAAGATATAATTTTTTTTTTCAATATTGTTTGAGTTTCGACATTTTTCCTTTCGGCCAATCTTCAAAGGCACTCTTTTATTATAGTCATATATTAGAATAGGAACAAAAGAAAGATCTGAAATTCTCACAATAAATCCTTCCTATCAAGGCTTGTCGTTTTGTAAAGTTGAAATTTCGAAAATCAGTTTTCTTGAAAAGGGTCATGACATTGAATAAAAAATCAATGCAACATCTAGCTCAACAGCAATAAACTGAGGTCCTCACTCAAAAGAGATCAATCAATTGATGTACTTCCCTCTTGAGATTTATGTCTTATATAAAGCTGTTATGGTTGAATAGTTATGTTGTTCGATATATACCTACCAGGGTTGTCGATTGTTTTCAGGAGTGCGGCGGGATGAAATTTCGGCAGAAAATCGTTATTCCTTCAAAAGTTATCAAAATTTCGCAGAAAATATTAAATATTTTTCGCAGAAACTGTTAAAAATTTTGGCAGACAGTCTAGCATTTTAGGG